AGTAAATTATATATTCGTTAAATAATCCTATGGAGTCTTAATTAGTAGTGCATAATTATGTATTTCTGTACGTGCTCGCACATAAAACAGTAAAGGAAGCTTGCAATTTGAGACTGTGGATACAAACATGTATTAACCAGAGGTGTATACGTTAATTTGGTGCCCTACGTGTCGTTAATACAGTCGATAATTGCCTGGCGAGATCTTTCGACAGAATATTATACTAGTTGTCATAGTTAATAGGCACTCGAGAGGCATCTGTCCCGGTAGCCACATAGTAGGGGTAAGTAGTAGGCGCACATTTACACAAGTATGTTTGTTTAATGCAAAAGTTATCTCCTAAAAGGTGTAGAATTAATAGTGGTTCAATACCAAGGAAGGTATGAATACTATTGAATACAACATCCAGGAATTACTTAAGATATGATCAATTTGGGGCCGATTTTTCAATCGTCGGATAACTTTTAGTTTTACTGAAGAATAAGTTTGGTATATTGACAATTTCAGTATGGGTGTCAAAATGAAAAAATTCTTCAGTTAAAAGTTGATCGAAAAATCAGCCCTTAAAGCTATATTTTTTTACCTTAGTTCTAATTTAACTGACATGCCATGATGAGCTGTCGAGGTTAAAACAATGGATAAAATTGATGTCTCTAAAGAATTGTACAAACAGTTTTAATCTTTTAATTACAGTCTAAACAAAGGGACCTAATATGTTTCTGTCAAGAATTAGGTTTATTCACTTCCGTAAAAATCTTCTTTTTTGTTCACTATACTTGTTGTCACGAGACTACTGTGTCTAAATCTATAGCGGTTCGATCCTTGCGCACGGTCACACGTTTTTTGAAGGATGCGCACGCACAGGTGGCGGCCCAGCAAACAAAGTATGGTCTTTTATCAAATTCAACAATACCTTTTGTCTTTTCAAGTTGAAACGGAACTGTTTTTGTGATAATCAAGGGGTTGATGGGGGTGTGAGTGACGCAGTTGGTGGCTGCTGTTTAACTTTGTTTTTAAGGTTTATTTCATTGTGGTAATCTAAAACGGTGTGAGCCAGTATGAGAGTGAAAAGAAAAATGCATTGTGTACATAAGTTCTAAATATTATTTGTGTTACGTTCGTATTCACAAACATTACTATGAGGTCTCACAGTGCGCGTGGACGCACAGGGTGACACACGAACCAATCACAGAGCTCTAATCAACGCTGTGCGTTCGATTTGCTGCTTCACTTAAGCAAGCATCGTTTGTGAATACGGGCGTTAATCTATTGGATACTTTTTCCAAAGTAAGTACCTACTTCCATTGTCTTTTTCCTAGTGGTATTCATCATTGATGTGATTATTAAAATATAAAAAAATTGATCAAAAACTTACAGGTTCATCAGGATTCTTTCAATGCCAACGCGATCCTGTAGCGTTTACAAACAGACACTAAAATAAAATAACTATTTCACTTTCACAAAAGTTGTCAGTTTTCACAACACGCAATAAATCTCAGCGAACACAAAACGAACACAAAATCCGCGGAACAAGCGTAACGTGTGGACATCGCGATAACAACATTGCAACTATTTTGTCGCAATAAAACACCGCTACACTATTATTTTTCTAAACGAAGGGTAGTTTTGGTTTACCGCTCGAAAAAGCCAATTACTAACATGAATATTCAAGGTCATGCCTGATATACAAATAAATTGCCAACACACTTTCTTTATTACACTTATACGAAAGATATACACATACATAAAATAATATCGTGGTGAGCTCGACTCGACTATCGTGGTGAGCTCACTCGTGACACAAGCATATTTAGCTTAGTACGAGGGGCTAGCGGGAGTATTAGTAATTTGTGTAATAACAAATTACTAATAATCTTTTTAAAAAAAAAAAAAAATTTTTGATTTATGATTACGACACTTCTTTTCACACCACCTACTCGTATGACTCGTTAATACATAACCTATTTTGACGTTCCAAATTCAAATAATTTAATTGCGTCACAAATGCCAGGCCATTACAGATTTGAATTTAGAACATCAAAATTCGAGAGAATGAATTAAAATAGAGTTCAACTTTTTACAGACCACTGCCGTCGATTGTTTTTTTTTTAATTTTGCTTGAAATAAGGCAAAGGCGAGACATACAGCCAGTACATTGTGACCGCAGTAATTTTACAATGTTTTATGGACGAACCTATGGCATTAGGGATTTATTTGCGCTCACCAGCTGGCGCCACTGGCAAGTCATCATCATCATCATTATCATCATCATCTCAGCCATAGGACGTCCACAGCTGAACATAGGCCTCCCCCAATGCTTTCCATGTTACCCGGTTGGTAGCGGCCTGCGACCAGCGCCTTCCTGCTACCTTTATGATGTCGTCGGTCCACCTTGTGGGTGGACGTCCCACGCTGCGTTTTCCGGTACGCGGCCTCTACTCCAGAACCTTGCTGCCCCATTGGTCAGTTTTACGTACTATGTGCCCTGCCCATTGCCACATCAGCTTGCTAATCCGTCGGGCTATGTCAGCGACTTTAGTTCGTTTACGGATCTCATTTCTAATTCGATCTCGTAAAGAAACACCGAGCATAGCCCTCTCCATAGCACGCTGGCAAGTGACAGGACTATACTCTACAGTGACGCCACTTTACTTAGTTTTACATTTAAAAAAGGTTTATTACTCGTATCTTATTTTCCATTTGAAATCTGTAGATTCATTCAACGCTACGACTATGGTGCTACGTATTAGCTACGGTGCACTGTAGTCCGTAGCATATCGTTAGAAATGTGTTAGGTTCGTAGCATCGTAGCGTCTACATATTCGTAGCTTAGAAGTTTTCTAGAACAGTGTTTTCAATATGCAATAATTGACGAATTTTATTTTCATACGATCACCGTTATTATAGCCATGTCATTTTTCCCGACTGCGCGACGCAAAGGAGTGGTATTGTGTTTATTCTACTCTGAAATAAACCTATCGAATTTCTGATATGCGAGTATGCTTCGTAGACTTGACTTTTGGATTATTAAATATTAAACTCAATTAGTTTGTTGGAAAAGGTACTATGTGCCAGAAGAGAATGAAGAACTTTCAACTTTTTTATACTTACTCCCTTTGTTACCATATAATTTATATCCATTTCTTTTAATATTTGATTTCGTACCGCTTCTCCTGGCGATACGATTCACCAACACTGCAGTTGCGGGCCCGGATGCCGGGAACAGCGTTGTAATATGTACATTATTCCATGAGAAGAGAAGAAAACAGAAGGTGAACTTAAATGGCATATGACATTTTCATCCAGTCATCCTTTGGGCTAAACCGACACTGGGTTTTCTAAGGATTTTTGTTTGGTAATAAGTCTCCTCTATGCTAGATGTCTTTGTTATAATACCTAAAACTAACCACTCCATTATTATGAAACAGTATGTACAAAGGTCAATTTAGTGTTGAACTGACCGAAGCTAGTCTCTTAGAAAACTTCGATAATCTTGTTCATTAACATTTTTATCTTGTAGACTCTAATCTAAAATAATCCGAATCTAATGATAGTAATAATATTGTTTACAATTCGTAAGCTGATTTATCATATTAGTAAAGGTCATAAGTCTAATAGAAGAGTAGAAAGAAATGGTAAGTATCTAGCGGACTTGTGACATCGTTTCAACCTTTCATGTTTTTTTAAGGTCTAGGATTCGAACCTAGTTTGACTGCATAGTACTACGTATTTATTTATTTCATTAGATGTCTCTACAATTTGTTATCGTGCTACTACGTATTCATTCGTATGTGGATACGTAGTTTTTCAGGTAGTTTCCAGTCAAACAAGACCTTTCGATTATATCGGACTGGATCCAGTAGAGTTCAAGTTACTTACATATCAGGAATCAGGCTAGATCGACATAATAAAATTCACTCTACATATCAGGTGTACTTTTAAATATTTTAAATAGTTGTACCTTGTGTGTTCCTTTTCTTTCTGTTCTTATCTTTGGTGTGCAATAAAGTGTATTTATTATTTTTATTGTTATATTCGAATTCATGGTCAACATTCACAGAAACCTTTATATTTTACTTTTGATCTTAAACAAAACTTTTAATCTATTTTTCTGTCCCAATTATATTATTGTAAATACTTACTACGTATGAATTTGTATACTTACTTTTTTGTTGATGTAGCAATTTAGCCGTAGTTATTCTCAGGAGTTGCGATGTTGATACCGGTCCCATGGCAATTGGCATGTTTGATGATGGTGATGACGTGTTTTTTTAAAGCCTTTTGAAAATGTCATAGTTTTTATTTTTTCTTTTGGCATATACAGCAGATAAAATTGAGATGAAATAGAATAACTTGATTAGAAGGGCTTTGAAATGAAAATGTATGAAATATTGTGCGTCAAATAATGAAATTATCGTTTTCCTTTTCACTGTTTCATTTGCTTTCACATTTCAGGTCAACTTTTTCGATACTTTAATACTAAAATATACAACAGGCCAGTCAAACCAGAGGTGGAATTGTGTAAAGCAATCGTAATCATTTGACAGTTCATAACCTAGGATTATTCTGACAAACGCTTTGTTTAACTGACTTTATCGTACGTTATGAACTGTCAAATATTACGATTGCTGTACAAAATTCCACCTCAGACCAAATTTAATATATTCCTGATTCCTGTCGTCATCTCTATTCCACTTAACTAATAGATGTTTTGTTCGAGTCTTGTAATGAATTAATCAGTGATTTTTTCCTTATGTGTTCAATCTTTGATTGAAGGGACTATTCCGGGCAATGGAGATACTTGTTATAGAGAAATATGAGCTTTACTGATCAATCTGACTATCTAATTAATTAAATGAAGAATCAGAAATCGAGAACAAATATTTTTAGTTCTCTATTGCACGAGAATTGCCCCACAGTTCTTGAAAAAAGAGTGAGTGAATGAATGAACGATGGATGTTAGATACAGGGTGTGGTGAAGATGAAATAAAAGAGATCGCTCCAAAGTTATAGTTTATATTAGATTTATAATAAGATATGTAGTCTACAAAATTTCACAAATTTTCACAACGTTATTTGAACCTAAAGCGTCTACCCATTTTATTATGAAAATAAAATCATCGAAATCACTGGAACTACGAACGACGGGGGCTGATTTTACGTAACCATTATTTTTTAAAATATAATCTAATAGGCAGTTATTTTATTCACGCAATATCTTTACATGAGTAAGTCAAAAACTAATAACGGTAAAAAAATAAAAAAATATCAATTCATAAAACCAGCCCCCCGTTAAATGAACATAACAACGTCGTCCCTATACATATACAATAATATTTATTATCGTTATATTTAACTAGAGTTATACAGAATAATGATTCCTATGAAATATAATTATGCATTCTTTAAATTTATTCAATATAATAATAATAATAATACTTAATAAGTATATCAATAGGTAATGGTTAGTCAAGTCGTGCTACAGACTACTATAGTTATAATAATGAATGTTCATATGATTCTTTATCATTTAATCAGTTATTTATTATTTAAATTTATTATTATTCGATATCATAACCAGTAAACGAACATACAGCAGCCTCGGCCCGACGGGCGCACATAATCACAAAAAAACATCGTCAACACATAAAATAATAATCAATAATAATAATCATACAGATAAAAATCATCCATAAAAACATTACAATAAAAATCTAAACATTAAAACACACTTAAAACAAACATTATATTAATATTATTTTAATCATAGTGTGTACGTACGTATTAATATCATTAAGCGAATAATCGTATAGTCAAAATAATGTGAGCATGGCGCGCGGGGGAGCGGGGCGGGCGGGACCGACCTGCCACGCGGGACCGACCTGCCGCGCGGGACCGACCTGCCGCGCGGGACCGACCTGCCGCGCGCGGCGCATTACCTACATTAGCTACTCCTACCCTACCTAGACTCTGAACTGACAACAGCCGCGCGTCCCGCTCCCCGCGCCGCCCGTCCCTCGCCTATTATATTATTATAATATCTTAATACTTTACGCTATTACATTAGGTAAGCTTTATAAATTTTCGATTTCTCATTTACGCTATCAATAATAATAATTATACAACTTTTTTTAAATTTTATGTTTTTTTCGAAATTCTATCGTAACGTACTTCGACTCTCTCTGCGGCGGCGAGCGCGGCGGCTCGACGACCTAATAAAAAACGTTCATAATAAGAAAATATATCGTGAACAACTCTGCCGACTTACGATAGGTTCGGCGCGGCGGACGGGCCGTGCCGGCGAGGCGCCGACTTTTGGCACCAGGATTTCGATTACGCGATTTTTATTCTTTTAATATTTTTATAACGATTCGAGTAAAAAAGACCGATCCCTACTAGGAGAGCGCACGGCTCGAGGCGGTCACGCGGGGCCGCTTACGAGATGATGCGGATGGCCTGGTGCGCCGGCGCCGAGCACGCGGGGCACGGCGCGCCGCCCGCCGCCAGCCGCTGCGCGCACTCCAGGCAGAACAGGTTGTGGCCGCACGGCACCAGCGCCGCCGCCACGCCGCGCTCGCCGCACACCGCGCACGCGCGCGCCGGCGACGCCGCGGGCGACGGCCGCGTCGGGCCCCAGCCCCACACGCCGGCCGTGCCGCCGCCCGGCGACTCGAAGGACGGCGACTCGCCCAGCCCCTCGTCGCGCTCCGTCGACGACCAGATGCCCAGCAGGTCGCCCAGGCGCGCCGACGAGCCGCCCGACGAGCACGAGCCCGCCGACGAGAACGCGGCCTCGGGCTCGGGCCGCAGCAGCGACGCGATGCCGGCGCGGTACAGCTGCGCCAGCGGCTCGCCGTCGGCCGCGCCCGCCGCCGCGCCGCCCGCCGCGCCCGTGCGCAGCGCGATGTGCGCCTCGATCTCCTTGCGCGCCGCCTCCACGCTCTCCGGCAGCCCCGTCACCTCGAACACGGGCTCGCGCTCGCGCGACGGCGTCACGATGTACGTGTGCGTGGTGTGCTGGATGCGCTTGATGGTGGCGCCCTTGGGCCCGACGACGAGCCCCACGACGCGGTAGGGCACGCGCACCTGCGCCGTGACGTGCCCGGGCGCGCCGGCGGGCGGCGGCGGCGCGGCGCCGCACTTGCGCGACGCGCGGATCTGGGAGAAGTGCTCCGCGGCGGACAGGATCTCGCGCTTGGCGCGCGCCACGTCCTCCTTGCGGCCCGTCACCACGAACACCGGCTCCTCGCCGCGCACCGGCGTCTTGATGTATGTGTTGGTCTTCGCCCGGAGAGCCTTGATCTTGCAGCCTGGAACAAACGAACGATCTCGTTAATATTGAACGACGCGACATTCGGGAGTTTGGGCACACGGTGTATTGGCGCCCAACGTGGGACCGGTTAAAGTCAAGGTTGCTTGCGTAAGTAATGCGCACTGTGGCATTGTACAAAATTGAAGGACGTTAGGCTATGTGTACTTTGGGGATGATGAAGTTGGTGCGGGTCGGTTTCCTGGCGTCAATGTGGCCCGCGAGACCGCCCCCTCCCGCTGGCAGACGGGCGAGAATCCGTCAATCGGCGGCGAGGCGCCGCTCGACGCGGCGGCCTCCGTGGAAGGCCATACGACATTTACGTGTCATACGAGGTCGTTAAACACAGCTTTATGCGAATATGCAAGCAAATTCGATAAAGAAAAGTATTAATAAATGTGCAAGTAATAGTTTAGGGGAAATGTAATAAATACATTCATTTTCATACATAATAGGCCGAAACTAAGTACAAGGCGTATCCCACTGCGGTTTTCTCGCTCCCCTGCACGTGGTGCCCGACTACCATCCTGCTCGCCCTGCCCAATGCGGCAAACCATAGCACATTCCGATCTTCGTAATGATGCGACACTTCCTTGAATACGAGTATTATATGGACTTACAACCCACACGACATAAGATGATATGTAGGTAAATCAAGACACGTCATTAAATAGTCAGACTTTAATTAATGATACTTGTAGTTATGAAGAGTCAATGGCATCATGCCCTCTTTAATAATAATAACAGTTATAAAGTCAGCAAGTAGCTTCGTAATATAATTGTTGGGATAGGATAATTGCAAATCCCGCTTTTATAAAACAACCTTTTTAAAATAAAAAAAGAAAAAAAAAAAAAAAAAAGGATTACATCGTAAGNATCTTAATCCGACTGGTGACCGCTTTACTTAGCCGACTCATGACAACTGGACTAATTGTCACCGGCATTGTTTGTCAGCACAAAAAATCTAAAACAAAGACGCGCTCTCAAGAATTCATTAACGTAATAGGCACAATTCTTTTCGCGCGAAAACCAGGTACAATACTTAGCGTTACAAATGGGGAAGGCCTAACATAATGGAGGGTAGTTTGGAATCACGGGCCATCGAACCCGGCCGTTCACCTTTCCCGTCGCGTACGCTCGATTCCCAACTTTACAATTCAGGGGCAGAGCTCAGTTTTGTATGGAACAATCTACTTTTGAGGGCTGAGGTCAGTACACAATACAAGCCCTTAAATAAAACGCGTTAGAGTATAAAATTGAACCGCATTAATCACTTTCGAAAATAAAAGCGGTGAAATATTGGTAGCCGAAAAGGATCATTTTTCGATTTGATTTGAATTTGGTTGTGTTCGCGATTAATTCACAGGATGGTCTAATTAATTCTCCTCGAGATTGATGTCGGCTAATTACGGGGATAAATATTGAGTTATTTTACTGGCAAATGAAAAAAATGCAAATAGACTGGTGGCATTTCCGTACTCTTCTCTCTTTCTATCTTTAAGTAAATTGGGAGTTTATGTCGTTTGTATTTTAACAGCTTTCATCAATTGACGTAACAAATATGGTTTCTGTAGCGAACATCGAGTAGGGCATCGCGGTGCCATTAGAGCTGAGTGCGAGGTGGAGCCCTAGGGTACATTTGTCACACTTCTTCAGTCTGCCACAGACAAGCAATACGTCTGATGAGGTGGGGTCAACGATCTTAGGTTTTATGCTTTTAAACTGACGTTTAGTATTCCGTTGATGTACGGACGTCGTTAATATAGGAAGCATTAAAGTGTGTGCACTTTTAAACGTGTAGTTATCAAAAAGTAGATGCATTAACGAGGCATAGCATTAATTTTGATCCATAGTTAAGTTAATTAAAACAAAGCGGTGAGATTCAATTAAAATCATATTAATTATTGCTGAACGAATACAGGAGATATTGCAATGGGCCTTAATGTAAAATTAAAAACATTATCACAACCACCCTTCAAATGTTGTGAAAATAAATAATCGCGAATCGAAAATATAGCGAAAAAGTAGAAAAGTTTATAGTGCGTAACGAAGTAGTTTCCCTGCATGCGGTCTAAAAAAATGCCATGAAAGCTCAGTATTTATGTATAAGACATTTATTTGAAAAGTTAAACCTTTTATTATCATTAGGAACCCCGTACCATGACCCCTTAGTAAATGGTCATTTAGATTCAGGCAAATGCGAACAGTAGCGACTAGCGACTATTAAGCGATCGTAACTATACTTATACTGAACTATAGTAGCGGTTGGCACGCTGCCAGCGACCGCTGATAACATCTCCTTGCGAAAAATTGGGTTATCTCGAATACAGGGTGGTATGCTAAGTCGGGGAGACTTGCAACGATTTGTTTTGCGGATTTACAGCTTAGGTAAAACAATACGGTATTTGACACCACCAATCAATTGACGTACTTTCTAAAACTGTTATGTTGAAACTAAACAACATTAAAAAATCGAACTGCCTAAAGTATGTTGAAACATTGTTAAAACAAGACTTTCCCATAGATTTTGTATAGCAATACATAAAGTCACTATTTTGTCAACTCAATTAAACTACTTTTTAAATCACAAAGCAATTAAAAATCCTAGTTTACAGGAAATTTAAAATTGATTAAGATTTTAAGACCACAATGAAAGAAGTGTCTTATAAAAAACGTTGTGCTTTAGAATTATTGGGGAATGGTGTCAAAATACCTATAACCTAAGAATGTTTTTCGTGGACATATGTTTCTGTCAAATAATAAAAGTTTTTTTTATAAGTTTCCGATTGAAGAAAATAAAAAATACTCTGCAAAAAATAAAAACTAACTGCATAACATGCATTGAATTTAAAATTGATACAAATAATTATTATAATTAATTTCAGGTAGTAGGACCTACAAAGTTCGTCTGCAAGCGAAACCGCGGCGCGCTACGAGTATACTCGCCTTCCGCGAAGCCGCGTGGCTACGCGCTGTCTACGAGCTACGGGCACTGCACCGCGGCAACCGGGTCACTGCCTCCCGCCCCCCGCGTTCGTGCTACGTCAGCTACGTGCTACGAACTTCGCTATGCGTACTTTAGTGTAACTTTTAAGTTTGATACTTTAGTGGAGATAAATAGGAGCCATTCATTATTTGAGTTTAGAACGGTTTTGAACTTTAAAGAAATTGTTTATTTATTTGGGACTCGCTAAATTTAAGGCATTTACCTGCTTTTTATTCTCAGGTTAGTTTGGAAAATCATTTTCAAATGATATTTTTTTACTAAATTATTCGTATTTAAATAATAACGATGCTAGATATTGTGTGATTACAATAAAATACAACGGAATATTAAATACCTTCGCAATCAGGTCACTGCCCCTCCCCAAGCCATCACGTGACTGAGCCGTAATGCCGTTCAAAGCTATGCGTGGTTTGGAACTTCGAAACTTTTGGAAGTACGTTGTACTCAGAATTTTAGTTTTACGTTTATTTTTGTTTACGAGTGATACAAGTGAGAATTGTAGTATTCTAGAAACTTCAACAGTTTGCAGCATTTTATTTCAAAGCCGATATTTATTAAGCATCTTAAATACGTTAATGCGCTATAGCTTGATTATTAAAATTAAAGATAATAATGTTGGTGACACTTTTTTTAAGATTTGAAGCATTTTTAATTCTAATACGAAAGTCGCGTTTCTTTCTATTTACTACATGGGAGCATAGATGGCGTTACGGTGCTACGAAGATGTGCTACGAGCTAACAATATTTCAGTTATACTTAATCGTTTCATTTGTTTTGTCTGGTAGATATTAGTTATTCAATAAGTGACTTAGATCTTTGTTAAATAGCTGAGCATCAATTTGAAACTTTTTGTTTGACACGGTTTCTACTTAACACTCGAAGTGAAAGCGCTTCAAAGTTTCGACTACACTTAAACAAAAGTAATTGGGATTTAATTGATAAATTCGGAACTCCTGAGTTGACTTCAGAAAGTGTCTTATTCCTCATCTTTTTCCTTCAAGGCTGTGATCATTATGTACAACGGAAAGCACATAATGTCGTCCATGGTGGAATAATGGTGTGGTTTGACAAGGCCTCCTCGTTTTCACAAAACGATGATTGATTAACAATGGTTTCCTCTGCGAGGGTGATGATGCAAATGGTTTGTTTTTCCTTAGAGATATAATAAGAAACGCAAGCAAAGTCAAGACTTGCAATCAAGCTTTTTTCTAGCTGTTTGTATTATCATTATCTGCCACTGCTAGATTATACTGCTTCGTTATAAACTATTTCAGCACTGTAGCAAAAATTTATGAAAGATGGTTCAACAAATTAAAACATCCTAAAAAATTAAGGCGTACTAGGCAAAACAGCTAGAGCTTAAACTTAAGCCAGTTTGTTGTCATAGTTGGCTAAATTCTCTCATTATTCTAAGTGCTGCAAGAAACATAGAGCATTCATCTGAAAATTAAGCTTATCTTAAACAAGACTGCCATTTGATCTAGGCCAAGAGTGCTGTTATGCGCAGGCTTTGGAAAACAGCGAAAAGCGAGTCATCCTGAATAATGAACAAGACAAAGCCACACCGCCCTCTCGCTCCTACGTATCGCGCTCTCCTTTCGTCACCGACTGATGCTTGCTTTGATTAATCGATTCCTATGCTTTTGATTAATATTTTCAGCACGCACCAAAACGTTACGTATATCGATTTGGTGTAACAATTTGCAAGTTAACACAAATCAGCTCAGATTGTATTCTAATGTTATTAACGCTGTATTAATATTATTATTACTCTCGTTAAATTTTATTTGCTGTATTAAGTAGGCCCCCGGTCGATATCTGTTTTCGTGTTTTTCAGCCAGATCTTAGGAGATTATCAGCCTCGAGCTACTCCGTAATTGAAGTATTATTTTCACTGTAAACAAGTTTAATTGAAATGTGCAAATTCTGTTACGTTTCAATTTGAATATAGGTGGATAAACGCCTTTGGTGCTTTAAGTGAGACACTCCTCGTA